TTGGGCTAAGGTTCGGCCGCCAGGTGGTTGCATTCGAGCCTGGACCCCGGGCCTGGCTCCAGGGTGGTGCCCCGGCTGCGCCATCCCGGGTGACGTCATGGTCTTTATTTGAATTCTATTCATAAAGGGCTTTTGAACCGTTTTTAGTCTGACCCGTCACCCAGGACCTGTTTGCCTTGGGAGACCCTACCAGGGGCATATAGCTCCTGACAACATAGCTCCTAGGGTCACTCGGATACTCAAACCCCTCCACCACAATAAGGTGGCAGTTCAAGGAGGGGTGTGTTATAACAAAACACTGAAATTTGTCAATGAAAATTTAAAAGAATAAATATGCATGCAGCCATTTGGGCATGCGGTGCATGTGGTTATTGAGGTTATTCTGTATTGTCACTGTTGCAGGTTGCTGTGGTAAAGATGCGAAGCACACAACAAGTGTACGCTATGAAGATTATGAATAAGTGGGACATGCTGAGGCGAGGAGAGGTACACAAACAAACTGTTCACATTCAGAGGACAAAGGATATTGCCAGTTTTGTTATTGTGTACACTGTACTGGAAAGGAAGAAAAAAGGAAGGAGAGTCAGACTGAGGCAAATACACTTTGATTTAAACTGGATGTCTTTCAGTTATTTAGATGTCATTCTGACATTTATTTGTCTTTCTACTTGTGACTTTTATTCAGTTGTCTTTGTGTTTTATACAGACAGCATGTTACCAGGAGGAAAGAGAACTTTTGCTGAAGGGCGACAGACGCTGGATCACAGCATTGCACTATGCCTTTCAGGATGACAACTACCTAGTATGTTTGAACTTTGCTAATTGTGCCAAGTAAATGAACTGTCCAAATATGTCATGCTAGCTCATAGCATATGCTGTATATAACCTAAATCCTATCCTCTCCTCCCTCAGTACTTGGTGATGGATTACTATGTAGGGGGGGATCTGCTGACTCTGCTCAGTAAATTTGGAGACCGGATCCCTGAGGACATGGCTCAGTTCTACCTGGCTGAAATGGTCATGGCCATTGACTCTGTCCACAGACTGGGTTATGTGCACAGGTAGTGTCGTGGCTAGAGTGTGATGCCGACTAAATTAATTCAGACAAACCATCCCAATTTAAAGGATCATTTAATATTACAATTATTCTGAATAGGGTAGTATTTAAACAGGTAATCTTGTAGTTAGGGAAACAGAGAACACATGGAATGGATACAGTATTAAAGAAGAAGATTGTCAGAGCGCCAGTCAGTCTTAATTCAGCGTCCCCTCAGCCGGCTGGGTTCCCCACAAAGTATACTCTCCCTGTCACAGTAGCATTGTCATCCTCTCTTCTTCTCCCCCCTTCAGGCCCACTCTTTTATCCACAGCTTTCCTTAGGCTGTTACGTCAATTTCTGAACTTAGCTTCCTTTCTCCAGTTTCGGGAGACAACACCCTGAGATGTACTTCAAAAACAGGAAACATCTTGACCAACTTACATAAGCTCATTGTTCAGCTCACATGAACTTAATGAAACCATAACCACTCAGCTCTCCCTTACACAAATAATCTCTATACATGAAGTACATACAGTTACCTCTGGAACCTTGTTTATTTTTAGCCACTACAGTAGAAAATTCAAAAGAATGGTGTTCATATTGTTTTGATTTACATTTGTTTCAGGATATAGCCATGCACAGTGTTGTGGCAAGAGTGAGATACCGACTAAATTAATTCAGACAAACCATTACAATTCAAAGGATCATTTAATATTACAGTTATTCTGAATAGAGTAGTATTTAAACAGATAATCTTGTAGTTAGGGAACAGAGAACAGAGATCAGAGAACGGAGACTCTCCTCTTGCAAC